GACCCCCCAATTGTAATTTGACATTATCCATCACCCCACTCAGCCCCAACTGCTCTCTCCGCGGCTTGCTTTCTACCAGCACGGGCAGATGAGCAGATTGCCGCCCGCCCTCCTCTACCTGACCATCTATAACCCGTTGCTTAAACCTAACGGCCCAGTAAACGACGATGACGAAGATGCTGAGGAGCAGGCGCATATACTCTTCTACACTTCGCGCGAACGGGCAGTTTCGCGCGACAAGATGCTCAGGCAGGTTGGCCTCGCCAAAGCCCTGATCAGTTTCTCTGAGTACGCTAGTATCTCCCTTATATGCGTGCTCGTCAAACTAAAAGGACCGAAGCTTGTTCGTTTCCGATGACACGTGCGACAACGTTCATTCACATTCACGGCGGATGCTCATGGTCTCACCCGAACCCGGCTTCTGGATCCACGCAGTGAGTAGTAATTTAAAATTCTTTCCGTGGAAAGTTGGATCGCTGATTCGTTTTTTTTTACTATAAGTGTATTGAATTGGCAAAGACGCCACGTCCAGTTCCCGCGAACAAAGGAAAGAGCAAGGATAAGGGCAAGTCAGGGGCAAAGGCGGCCGACAAGGGGAAGAACGGGGAAAGCAGTGTCGTTTACGACTATCACGACGGTTCGGTGCATGACCTCGCGCTGCGCGCGCAGGTCTTGAGAGGGTATGAAGAGTTCAAAGTATGTGATGGCATCGCCTTATGTGCGTGCGTGCGCGGGGGGCTTACGATCACCTATAGCTCACTCATGGATCCTTCACGTCTGTCCTTAAGACGCTGGGCCAGCAGGCACTGGAGCTGCAGCTCGAGAGGTTCTTCACGGTATGGGCGTGGAAATGGGATATCCAGGAGGAATCAGAGTTTGGCAACTGCCTTGGTGCGTCCACTGACGACATCTCTTCGCCCTATCTCGCTGATATAATTAATAATAAGGTGTACCATTGCATCCTTTGCGCAACTCCATCGGTCCAGCCTTGGACGACTTTGTTCTCGACAACCCCCCTTTGAAAGGCTGTGCGCCTTTTATCCTCTCACATCCGCATATGATTCCCTTCCACCAGTTACGCGACAAACCCCCCTTCCCCCGTGCTACCTTTCTACGTTCGCTCGCGCCTACGAATTATCCCGCTACCTCCCCCTGCCTCACCGAGCGAATCGTCCCCTTCATCGCCCAAGCAGGGAACAGACATCTTTGCGAGCAGCATGAACGCAACGCGTGGAGCGATGGGGGCGACGGGCCAAGCGTTTGTCGCAATTGGAGCGAGCATGGACGTGCGAAAGTGGAGCTGGCCTGGATACTTGACATTCAGCAAGGGAACGCTGCAGAAGATGGGACCCCAGGACCACCAACCCGCAAGTGCTGAGAACGGGTCAGAGAAACAACAGGTAGAGCCGGCAGAGGACAAAGCCGCCGGTGAACCTGCCTCTCCGAGCACCGAGGCGAGAATACAGGTAGAAGTTGATAAAGAGAGTCTACACGAGGCCATGTCGTCGGATGGTATAAGCGAACCTCATGGAGAAGAAACCGTAGGAGAGGAGAACGCTTCGGTTACCGAATTGGCATTACAAACTACGGAGGCAACAACGGGTGGGGTGGATGCTACACTACAGAGCGCAAGCCAGCCTCTACAAGATGAAGATGAGAGAGGATATTCTCCTCCAGCATCTCCATCTACGCCGGTCGTTCACCCTCCAGATTTTGTGTCGCCTCCCTCTCCATCATCATCTCAAGGCACTCTTCCTGTTCCTCCTCCTGTACCTTCTTTCAGATCATTCGCCCTCCATTTCGCTCATGACGACCCCCTGGCTACTGTACAGAGGCGAGTGTTATACGTAACCGTGAGCGGTTTTCCTACTTCCAGTTGCAACTGACTGGAATTGGTTCACAGAAAGACCAGCTCACACTCGCTTTCCTGGAGCCAACAGTTACGATGCCAGAAGAAGACAACATCACACTGTACCAGGCATCATCCGCGCTCTTGGCGAACATACAAGGTTTGATAGACCACGACGAAGCTGGCAACCGCCGATACTCCTCTCACGGCGGCGAAGATTCTCCAGCCAAAGGATAAATTCGTGATAGTGACGAGCGAAGGTACCACAGTAACGAGTGCAGAGTTTTCTTCCCGCTCCGAGCACTTATTCAACGGGAGCCAGCTGATCGCGTGAGCAGCTCTTGTGATCCCCCCTCATGTTTCATTCAGATGCTAACGGGTCCGTCCTCAGCAATGGTGACGCCACGGAGGTATTCTCGCGGACCCAAGGTCCGCAACACTGGCACGTTGCGCGGCGCGAGGCAGAGAGTATGGTGTACCTAGAGGTTCTGCGGAAGGAGACGAGTCTAGCTGACGTTGAGAATGAGCTAGTAGGCACAGTACGACGATTTCGTGAGAGTCGGTAGATTTTGCGAGCGTGAGAAATGCTTTGTAATGACTGCACATATGATTATCAATAATACCCACGACTATCGACAGACTTGCGGTCAGCATCAACTGGACGATTTGATCCATCCACAACACTTTCTCAAGATCCCTCACGATGGTAGGCGGGCACAATCAGTCACCGTCTTTTCAGCCCTTACTGAACCGCTTCGTAGACAAAACGTACACGCAAGGTCGGCGTCACTGGCAAATACGGCACGGTAAGCGACTGCAAACTGCACGCCTAAACCACCCCCTGTGCTGACTAGTTTCTCGGATAGCGCTATGGTGCCTCCCTGAGAAAGCAGGTTAAAAAGGTGCGGTTCCCGCAAATGCAAATTAGAGAGAAAAAAGCTGACTTTTGTTTGTTTGATCCTGCTACAAGATGGAAATTACCCAGCATGCGCGATACACCTGCACCTTCTGCGGCAAGGCAAGCGCGCAATTTCTACTAGAGATACACACGATCGCTGATACTCGTCTCGTTTGTTCAGGACAGCGTGAAGCGTCAGGCAGTCGGCATCTGGAAGTGCAAAGCATGTAAGAAGATCATTGCGGGCGGCGCATGGACCGTGTCCACTACGGCCGCTGCGACGGTGCGCAGGTGCGCTCACCCTTAGTCCTTTCCAGTTCAGAATTGTGGAGAGCTTATACACTTTTCAATACCCTTTTAGCACAATCCGTCGTTTGCGCGATCTCACGGAGGCATAAAACTGTGGTCGCCATTACATTCTCTCAGTTCTACCTTTGTTGTTTTTTATACACACATAAAGACAAATGACCATATGCCTCCATGACTGGTTGCCAATTTTCGGGTGTCAGAGTGCTCTTCAGCGAAACTAATTGATATGGCGCAGCCTAAGATACGCTAACACCGTGATAACAGTAAGGCAGACACCCATAGCTCAGACATCCACGCCAATTCAGGTCCGAAAGCATATATTCATAGATGCAACACAAGTTGCAAGGGATACATGACAAACAAGACAGCAAGATATAGAGTCAAATCAATCCTGAGCAATATCATCATCATCGTCACCTGGGTTGGGGCTGTCGCCCTCTTCCTGGTCGTCATCTTCCTCATCATCTTCCTCATCATCGCTACTTTCTTCATCTTCTTCGCTCTCATTGAAGGTAAGAGAGATATACTCATCGCCTAGCTGAGCGTCCTCTACTGTCGGAGCGGGCGCAGCTACAGCAGAAACTAGATCATCAGCAACAGAAGCGGAGGCAGGGCCAGCTTCCGCAAGAACACCAGTGGAAGCCGGCTTGCGCGCACGATTAGCGCGGATGACATGCGGGAGCTTGCAAAACTTGTTTGGGCACACCCCATTCTCAGCAAAGTCAGGACACTCGCGAACGTGCTGCCTGGGACATTCGATGCCTGCCTCACAGTAGCCGAGCACAGCAAAGTCACGGCATACGCCCTCACGACGCCCGACACGTACGTGAGGGTATTGACAATTTGCGCGTGTGCAGCGGCCCGCATTTGCAAAGTGCACGCAAAGAGGCGTGCGATGGGGGTTCGACTCATGCGAGAGAGCACACGTTTCTGCGGTATGTGGGCAGTTGTTCTGGAGATAAGGCCAACATATTGCGATCTTGACTGGGTCATGCTTGTAAGCGCATGTGAGACCACGATTGCAGGAACCTGTCGTAAAGAAGGGGGTGGAAGTAGTTAAAAAGAACAGGAAACAAGTGAGGAGGTGAGGTGGCCCGAATTGGATAAGAGCGCACCGGTTGTGGTGAACCTAGGACAAGGCTTGTCGACATACTTTTTCTTGTAACTGGGACCGCGTGACCTACGAGGAATCATCAGTTGGGTGGCAGATATGAACTTCACCAATGAACAGACTGGTAAACCCTGCGGGTGTTGTCGAGCCTGAGGCGGCTGCGTGGAGGACCCTTGGGCTTGTAAACCCGAGTTCTTGGGCCTACTTCTGACTTGTTGCGAGAGAACTGCGACTGTACGCGGGGACGAGGACCAAAGGAGGGCGGCTTGGAGGAGGGCTTGACTAGGGGCGACGGTTGCGCAAGAAGTCGACTAGAAGAGAATATGGACGCACTATCTTTGCGAACGAGGGAGCGTTTGGAGGTCTCGAATACGACCCCATTAATGGTCACGTCGCGGGGCTGCGACTGCGAGGGGCCAGGGCCGGATTGGGGACGTACTGTAGGAAGTGAAGTTGTACTTGAGGCTGGAGTGGCACTGGGAGTTTGAGATCCGGAGCGAACAAGTGTTTTCGAGGACGAGAGCTTGTACGATGGATTGACATAGGTGTTGCGCGGTGTTGGATACGAGTGTGGTGGGCGGACCTCCCCGGATCGATGGCGGTTGATAGCACCTAGAAATACCATTATGAGAGAAGAATACAAGTGTGGAAAGAGAACATACCTGTAAGACGAGCAATTTCGAGCTTCAAAACAGCCTCTGGTGTAGCCATCTTGGTTGGTTGGGAGCAAGGAATGATGTCGCTAATCAAGACTGCACTGGTCAATTACTAAACACCAACTCCGCATGGCGCGATGACACAAATAAAAACACAATGACACATCACGTTATTGAAGCAGCATGGCGCAGCTGGTATAGCGCGCAGGGCCCATAACCCTGAGGTCCCTCGATCGAAACGAGGTGCTGCTACTTTCTTTTTTCTTTTTTCTTTTGAAACGTATTACAGTACCCTCGAACAAAAGCAAGCGATACATGATGGCTATTGCTGGCATGTCCACGAAGCGCCATAGTTGTATCTATCATTGAGTTTGTCTGTCTAGAGGTCCCTCCATCAGCTACAATAGCCGTGATGTGCTATATGTCAGTGGGAAGAGGATACGTGACATTGTACCCTATCTGACGCGATTTGGTGCTCCACTTCGCAGGCTTTATCTCACCGACTCGGGACGATCCACGCGAGATCAAACAATCAAGAACGCTACTCGGGATCTGACGCCGCACGTGCTCAGCCGAGCTGTGCGGGTCGCGGACACTCCTCCAAGCGCTCCTCGCACCAGAAGGTCCACTTGTCGCCACCGTTCAACGGGCTGACGCTCGCTGACAAATCCCCCTTCTTTTGCTGATATGTGTGAACGTTGAGAATGACACGGGGTGGAATTACAAAGCCACTGCCACGACGCAGTGCACATCGATTCCTCTCAGCCATTCAGGCCTTCAGGCATCAGGCCTCAGATTTCACTCCTATCGACTTCCGCTGTTACCTTGTTACCTTCGGGATGCAAAAGAGGCACTATCCCACAGCCGAGCCGTCTTCTGGTTCACCTGCCAAAACCTGGCGCAAGGCTTCATCAGATATCGGAAGTCGGCCAGCGGAGGGAGAGAGCAATAAGGAGAGGGTGGAGGGAGCTGAGGAGGCCCCTGCGGCATCCGAAAAAAAGTTTGGGAAGACGATAATCATGCCCGTCGCGATCCCCGGTGTCGGAAAAACAACTATTGCCGTGGCTCTTGCAGAGCTGTTCCAATTCGGGCATACACAGAGCGACGACGTTCGGGCCAAAAGGCGGGGGCCTGCTTTCATTCAAAATGTCACGAAACTCTTGCGAAGTCACGACGTGGTCATTGCTGACAAAAATAACCACCTTCGCATGCACCGTCGGGCTCTCAGAGATGCCGTCAAGGGCATGCACCCGCCCGTCCGCCTTCTCGCGCTCTATTGGTCACTTGACCGGCCTCATGCGGAGACCCACCGGATCTGCGCAAGCCGCATCCTGGCGCGCGGTACGAACCATCAGACGCTGCGCGCCGATGGGAAAGGGAAAGCGCACGAGGGCGTCCTGTGGCAATTTTTGCACACCACCGAGCCACTCGCAGACGATGAGGCAGACATAGTGATCGAGATGGACGTACGAGAGGACTTCGAACACGCGCTCGCACGCGCGGTCGACGCGGTCGTGCGCGTGCTGGGGCTGCCCCGTCCAGACGCCGAACATGTCGGCGCAGCGCTCGCCAGGGCACGCGGGTAAGTGGAAGTTGGCCAGGATGCCGACAACACTCAGACCGGAAACGAAGAACTTAGGTATGGGCCAGATAAGAATACAGAACGGATGAGGGCTGAATGACTTGGACCGTCGTGCCTGCATACACAAGGTGTTACACTCCGTGGACTGTTCTACGGCATTCCATTTCTTTCTTCAACATTCTTGAACTCTCCTTAACATGTTGACCGTCTTTCTGTAGTATTCGGAGTAGTTCCTTCTTGGTTGTTCTCGTAGCGTCTACGTTTGCGGTACAAATCTATAAAAACCCATGTAACTAGAACAAGAGCCTTAAGCTCGATCTACTGTACTCAACTACGGTAGCTTTCTCGTTCTCGTTCTCAATATCATCGACTGTTGGCTTCACGAATATCGACTGCGACTTCGTTTCGCGCTTTCTTCTCGACTTGTGCATCATCGCTTCGCTGTCCGATTGACGGCATTATCCGAACTCCGACCGAATCTCCGACGATGCGCCTTACCGTGCGTGACACAAGGCGCCATCCCTTCACAGTATGATTTTACGTATATATGATCCGTTATGGGAGCGAGGATTGGACCTGCAGTATTGGAGATCTCTACTTGAAGTGATGCAATGCGATCAAGGGAGTTGAAGGTTGCGATTGCGAAAAAAACGATAGTTGCGGACAGCTACGAGGATCAATTTGTCGAAGATGAAATCGATGAAATCAGGGGAAGATGATGAGTGCTAGTGATGGCCGAAACAATAGAATCTGCAAGCTTCGAGAGACGCCTGAAGGATGTCGGCATTGAGACTAGTGGGAATCGAGAAAATCGAAAAGGTGGTGTTGGATGTGCAAGGAGTGGGAGTTGTAACAGGAGGAATCGACAAGATCGCAGTCAAAGGAACGCAATGAAAATCCCGTTTCGTAGCTGTATAGACATCGTCTATCGAGTAGCGGGTACTAGGATGATGGCCAAGTAGCACCATCTGCGGTGGGAAGCTGATTCGAGACCGAAACAATGGTGTAAAGGTACCAACAAATCTCCTAGGCGCTTCGAGAGGCTCAATAAACTTGTTCACGATAAGGTATGTCGAGATTGCATTGAATCGCACGATAGACTACAGGATTAAAAACGTGTTGTCCTCAATGATTATCATTGCATACGGAAACAGGAAAACGCATACTCGCATCCACCTAGCCATTAGGAATACAAAGAAATGAGATCTTTCGTGATACCGATCGTCAATGAATTCCCTCCTGAGCCTTCTGTTAAACCGAGGGCCTCAAGGCCTCGAGTTCCGGCATTTTGTCCGATATGAGAAGCAGGGGAAGTGCCTTGATCCTTTCATTTGTAAACGTTAGGGCGGTGGTGCTTACCGCTTGGGAAAGGAATGTGCTGTACTCTGGAGCAAATTAGACATTGAATACAGTTTGTCCAACTGCCAGCAGGACTTACCTAGACTTATTCAAGTTTTGCGGAGATGTGAGCCAACGACCCAAGGGTCAGTTTGTCATCTTCTTCATCGAGTTCTTCCCTGGATCTGTTGAAAACATAGTCATTTCCCATTGGGTAAAGTCTGAGAGTTTGCGTTTCTTCGGTGCCATGCTGTGTTCATGTAAGGCAATTGAAAACGAGACTCCTGTTGCCAGCACAGCGCTGACAAGTAGTCACTGTCACGTTATAATTCTGTAATTGCATTGCGGTACAAAAATATCAGAAGGCGAGTGGAGAAGGGGTGTAATTGAGCGCCTACCCATATAAGGTATTGTATTCTCGCACTTATGAGCCGAGCATAGGGTCCGAGGTGTTAGCACAGGTCGGCAAAATCCGCACGGGTAGCGGGTACAGGGTGGCCGGGTTAGGGCCCTTGCGATGCAACATGCATCGCAAAACCCGTACCCATGGGTACACTTTCCAACTTGAAGTTTTCCACACTCACAACTCGGACGGAGGATGCAGCAGGTGATAGACCACATATTCACAGGCGGCATCGAGGAGGCCATGTTGGCCCTTGGTTCGACCTCAAGGCCATTCTCGACCCCTATGCTCGCATTAATTCCGTGGTTTTGGAACGGGTTCAGCAAAAGACCAAAGGCCGATGACCCCCCGTTGGGGTTGTGTGACCCGAACGCGACGACCTCGAGTATGCAATAACCTCTGCAATTCTGGTTCGACGAAGATGACTTGGTGCTCGCTGCAGAGCGTGACCTGGTGATCCAGGATGCGGAACGTACTCTCGTATGCAACATATGCTACAGAGACCATTCCTATGACTTGGTAATGCTCATGAACCCATGCGAGCATACCTTTTATCCTGCATGTCTACGGACTCACGTTGTATGGGAGCTGAACGAGTGGCATTTCGCAGTACATTGCCCCGCTTGCAGACTGAATCCAGTGCTCGGGCGTGGATTGGGAGGTGTTTTAAACCTATTGAGCTAATACAGTTGTAACCAATGCGATGGTGCTCAAGCTCGGAATTACGGACGACGAATACGGCACTTAGGTCGAGTTGGAAATGGCCCCGGTGTCGGTCATTTTATATTGTCGGGAGTGAGATCACCGTCATCGACTCTTTAGACTTCTTAAACACCGTTCAGGTGCGGGCATTCCACATTCGCTAAGACGCGGAAGAGAGGCCCGTCCTTCTCTGTCTGTTCAGTTGGAGACTGTGACAACGTTCGGATCATTGTTCGAGGTCCAGAACATTCATGCGACTACTGGACGGGAAAGGTGAAAAAGAGACTAATAACCGAGGACGGCGAAGGTCGTTCTTTTGTGGCCTTTGTCCCTAAGGTTTATTTTATTTTAAATCCATTATCCTGCGCCTGGGGGTCATGTAGCGCACTTCACTTGTAGATGTACACCACTGTCGTGACGCCCAATGACTATAAATTTCTTTTCCTTCCGTCTAATTCCCCCTCGACTCCCAAAGGCAGCGAGTGGCGTAGCCTCCCGTCAAGCGTCGAGGTTGGTGGGGCGTACCTGTCGACGGTGCGGGGTTTCGCGGGGCTTGGGATTGAGCCCGAGATGTATAAACCTGGCCTGGGACCTAGGTCGTCCGCTTTCCACTTCGTGTCTTGAGCGGACCTAGTGGTGGACTGGTGAGTCGTGGGGTTGGTTGATGAGTTTAATGAGGTTAGTGAGGTGGTGCGGATGGGTGGCATGCGGGATTAATTAGGTGCGTGTATGCATGCGCGTTTTGTCCCTTACAGTAAGGTTAGGTATACGTGTGGCACTTTGTATTCTTGACCGAGAACGAAAAGAAAGTGTCGTTGCAAACACGACACACGTATCGTACATAGAACAACGGAATGAAGTCCTGGCCTGGTACTGGCCTAGCACGGTACAAGAACAATTTGCCTTCACCCTCCCCCAAGACGAAACCAAGCAAAATATACATTGAAAAATACCATTACATTCCCAAGAATACTTAGCTCCGCCGAATACAACAAAAAAACGTACAAGTGCCCGCCAAAGCTCCGGATTTCGTGCGAAAATTGATATAAAATTGAGGTGCGACCGCTCTGTCCTTCCAAACTCGGGATTTATGCGAAGACTTTTGAGCGAACAGCAGAGATCCACGAGGCTTGGGCGTTGGGGAACTGAATGGCGCAAATCTCAGCGGCGGGTCACGGAAAGGCAAAGAAGGTACGTGTCCTCACCTCCCAAGTCATGATACCAGCA